AGAGCGCGATTACTAAGTAAATTGTAGCGGCGTCCTTGGCGCAGCGTTTTTCCTGAGCGTCGAAAGCGCGATGTCTGAATAAATTGCATGGAGGTCACAGGCGAGAGCGCAATTCCTGAATAACATTTGAAGTGTTCTCTGGCGGGAGCGGGGGTCTTGATTAAATTGCGAGGAAGTCTTGACTCAATTGCGAGGAAGTCTCAAGCGGGAACGCCGTTCATGAGTAAATCGTGAGGAAGTCTCAAATGGGAGCGGGGGTCCTGACTAAATTGCGAGGAAGTCAAAGGCGGGAGCACCGATCCTGAGTAAATTGTGAGGAGGTCTCAGGAGCGGGGGTCCTGAGTAAATTTGGAGGAAGTCTCAGGCGGGAGCCGTTGTTGTTGTAATCCGGGGGGCCAGGGGCCAAGTTTGAGCACCAAGACTTTCCCTGTCCAAAAACAGGCTGCGAACGTCGAGGGGCCCAATTTGATCGAGAAAAAACAGCATGCACCGGTGATGGGGGATCAACAATAGTTATTCTTCAGAAACGAGAGTTCAACAATCATTAGTTTAAGACTATTCGCTTGTATCTGTTCGCGGGCCATTGAACACGTATATTCCAAACCCTCGATACCCGCCCTCTTCGTCTTCGATTGTACCCCCTTGGGGGCATATGTCTGCCTTACCTGCAACGTGAATTTCGTGCAGCCGCTAAGGCAGGGACAGAGAGGACGAATGGAAGGAAGGGACAGTGGGGAGGGAGCAGGAGGTGGGCTCGGAGCAGAAAACACGTGGCAGAACCAGACGGGCAGATCGGGCGGGTAGACCCGAGCGGGTGGGTCGGGAAGGCGGGCCCAGGCGGCCAGGTCGAGCAGGCGGGTTGCCGAAGCGTGCGTCCTGCATGAATCGCGAGGACGTCTCGAGCGATAGCGCGATTCCCAAATAAATCGTGAAGAAATCCACAGCGAGAGCGTGATTCCTGAGCGTCGAGGGCGCGGCGTCTGAACAAGTCGCGAAGAAGTCCCACACGAAAGCGCGATTCTTGTATCAATTGTGAGGACGTCCCGCGCGAGAGCGCGATTTGGGAATCATTGTGAGGAATTACCAGGCGGGAGCCGTTGTTGTTGTTGGTGTTGAGGGTGTTGGTGTTGTTGTTGCTGTTGTTGTTGTTATTGCTGTTGTTTGGGACCAGGGGCCAACAAACCAGTTTGGTGACACCTCGCCTTCCCTTGTAAAAAAGACGGTGCGAGCCCCGGGGAACGAATTTAAACTGATGAATACAATGGTTACTGGGGACGGGGGTCAACAATATTTAATCCTTAGAAATTAGACTTCAACTTCGACTTCAACAGCAGCAACAACAACGACAACAACAACGACAACGACAACGACAATGACAACAAACACAACACAAGCAGCAACAACAGCAACAACCACAGCAACGATAACAACAACCACGACACCACCAACAACAACAAGAATTACAACAACAACCACACCAACAACGACGACGACAATTACAACAACAACAACAACAACAACAACAACAACAACAACAACAACAACAACAACAGCAGCAGCAGCAGCAGCAGCAAGAAGGAACCGAACAAGAACAACAACAACACAACGACGACGACAATGACAACACCAACAGCAACAAAAACAACAACGACAGCACTCATGCTTAGATTGGTTGCTCTGATCTGCCCGCGTGCCATTCAACACGTACACCCCAGAACCTCTACACCCGCCCTCTTCGTCTTCGATCGTTCCCCCCTGGGGGTATGTCTTCCCTACCTGCAAGGAAGGGAGGAGGGAAGAGACAAGCGGGAGGGAGAAGGATGGAGCACAAGGGGGATTTGCAGGAGGGTCAAGAGCAGGAGTACAAGCGGGAAAACCAGACAGGCGGGTCAGGCGGGCGGACCCTACCAGGCAGGTCGGGCGGGCGGGCCCAGGCGGCTGGGCATCCAACATGAATCGCAAGGAAATTTCGAGCGACGTCGCGATTTCTAAGTAGATCGCGAGGAAGTCCACAGCGAGAGCATGATTCGTGACTGTTGGGGGCACGGCACCGCAATAAATTGCGAAGAAGTGCCACGCGAGAGCGCGATTCCTGGATCAGTGATGAGGAAGTCCCGCGCGAGAGCGGAGCCGTTGCTTTTGGAAGTCGAGTCCCAACAACGCATTCTGAAGCCCAAGACTTCCCCTTGTACAAAACAAGGTGCGAGCCCTGGGAGGAACACATTAATTGAAAAAGCAAAATGGACACCGAAGGGGAGAGATCAACAAGAGTTACTCTACCGTCCCAATCCTCATCCTCATCACCATCACCATCATCATGAACCATAACCATCAACAGCATCATCATCACCACCGTCATCACACCTCCTCGTTCCTCGTTCCTCGTTCCTCATGCCTACTCCCCCTCCTCCTCCTCCTCCTCCTCCTCCTCCTCCTCCTCCTCCTCCTCCTGGTCCTCCTCCTCCCTCTCCTCCTCCTCCTCCTCCTCCTTCTCCTCCTCCTCCTCCTCCTGGTCCTCCCTCCTCCCTCCTCTCTCCTCCCTCCTCCTCCCTCCTCCTTCTCCTCCTCGCAGGAGGACCTCGTGATGGTGACCTGCGCCGCCTGCGCCTGCAGGGAGCGGTACAGCGCCATCGCGAAGGACCTCGAGAACCTCGCGTAGCCCTCCACGACCAGGTTGCCTAAGCCCGCCCCAGGCGCCCTTCTGTGGGACGCACAGAGACATATTAGTACTGTCTGTCCTCCTTGGAGGTGCGCGTCCGACCCGAACATATAGAATACCCATCTTGTAGTAGATCGTTTCCCGAGCGGGGTGGCCAGAAAGCGCCTGTCACGACGCATATACTATAAGATTTCTCGGTGCGCTCGTCGCCCCTGAGGAGGCGACGCACATATAGTATAAGTATGTTAGGGTGACGCCGATTATGTGGCAACTGATGGGAGCCTCCCATGCTATCTTTTGGGTGACCCAATAGGGGGTCCGGCTGAAAGGGGAGTGTAGATTTTGGGCAATTGTATTGCAAACGTACTGCTCCGGAGAATTGGATTGCACTGTATTGTAAGCGATGTATTGCACATGAAAATCCAACAATAGATTTGCGCCCTGGAATGTATTGCACGCCCCGAAGGTAGTGCAACCCCACAAATCTATTGCACCAAATCTATTGCACCACCCCCTTGTCGCTGGACCCCCTTTTGGGTCAACCCGATATCTTGCTGGTTGGGAATCGACGGTCACCGACGCTAATCGACGCGAATCGACACGTAATCAACACTTCTCGACGCCAAATCTGCGCTGTCTCATCGGTCACCAGAAGCTGGCAATCGGGAATGAACTCTAAATATGGAACTGTGAGGACATACAAAGCTCCCATGAATGGCTACCGAAACACCCGGCGCCTCGGTAAGAAACGAGACGGACGGCTCCCTGGCATCTTCTTCGCGCCAGGGGAGAACTAGAAGGAAAAAACGGCGTAAGCATAAGCGTTCGGAACTCCGCGCAAATTTCTTGGATCGGCGCTGGACCCCCCTCCTTGGCGCGCAGAACACGCCAAGGTCGGCGCCGGAGGCGCCGCCAGGGGGGCCTGCACGGTTTCCCCAAGGGCCGTAAGCGACCCGAGGAGGGGAAGGAGGAGGAGAAGGAGGAGGAGCAGGAGGAGGAGGTGGAGGGGGAGGGGGAGGAGGAGATGGAGGAGGGGGAGGAGGAGGAGGAGGAGGAGGAGGAGGAGGAGAGGAGGAGGAGGAGGAGGAGGAGGAAGAGGAGGCGGGGGAGGGAGAGGAGGAGGAGGAGGAGGAGGAGGAGGAGGAGGAGGAGAACGGGTCGCCTAAGCCCTTCGGAGAAACCCTCCAGGGGGGCCCAGCGCAGAGCCGAGAAATCCGCGCGGAACTCCGAGGATTATGTGAATGCAAGTTTGTCTCTCGCGAATCGAAACATCACGACACAAGGTTTGCGGCAGCGTTTCGTCTCAGGGAGCCCTCCCCCTGAGAGGGGGAACGCTCGGGAAGGACCGGCTCGGGGGACATGGAGGCTGGAATCGGCAGGACATGGACGATAGATGGGCGATAGGTCCATAACGACCGACGTCGCGCGTTCTTTACAGCGTGGCTCTCCAGAGGTCCGCACCCCTTCCTATGGACTGGCGTTTTATCCTGATGCGCTATGTGACTGCACCTGGGCCCGGTGAGGACCCCACGAGGCTGACCATTGCCAAATTTCTTTCGTCGTGATTCACTATCACGACGCGAAGGTGTCAGGGCTGGACTAACTCCACCCCTACGTACCCTCGACTGGAAAAAGGGTCGAAGAGCTCCCCAGAAGCCCACGCTTCGGAAAATCAAATGCGCCAAGTGTCTGGGTCACCACAGGCGCATTCCGGCAGCCTCCTCCTCTTCCTCCTCATCATCTTCCTTTTCTTCGTTTGTGACGTCATCGCCATTTTCGTTTTCGTTTCGTCTTCGGTAACGTCGCCGTCGTCGTCTTCGTCGTCGTCGTCCCCTTATCCTCCTGTTGCCCTCTCTTCCTGGCAAGCACGGCGCGGCACGGCACGGCACATCTTTCACACTCTACAAGCCAGGCACGGCACAGCAAACACAGAACGGCACGCGGGCACTGTGGCACAGCTCGGCACGGCATTTTTTCCACATGTTCGAAACCAAGCTCGGCTCGACACGCACGCGGACACAGCACAGCACGGCATGGCACGGCATGGCACACTTCTGCATTCCAGGACAGGGTCGCGTCAGCGCACGGCACGGCACGCGGGCACGGCACAGAACGCGGGCACAACACGGCCGCCACATTGATCGCGGCACACCACGTCACGCGGGCACGGCATGGCTGGCAGGTTGCTCGCGGCACAACACGCTGTTCGAAGCCGAGCACTGCACGGCACGGCACGCGGACACGGCACGGCCTTCGCGGCGCAGCACGTTGCTCACAGCTTCGACACCGAGCACTGCACAGCACGGCACGGCACAGCACGGCACGGCACAGCACGGCACGGCGCGGCGCGGCAGGACACGGATTCCCCGTGCATGTCTCGGATTCGTGCGCACATTCCTCTTCCTATATTTTTACAAGCCGGGGGTGGTGGGAAAACCCCGTCACCCCCCCCAAAAAAAACTGGACCCCCAGGTCCGGGCCCCCCGGACAGCCTTGCCAAAAGTCCCCCAGCTCGCCCCGGACTTCCCAGGGCGCTTGGACGGGTCTTGCCAGCAGACCCCAAGCGATCAGAGCGGTGATCAGCGAGGCCGAAGAGAGACCCAAGACAGCACAAGAGCGCTCCAAAAAGGACCAAGATGGCCTCCCGAGGCCCCCAAGACGGCCCAGGAGGCCCTGAACAGGACCCCCAGAATTCAAAAGTCGCTTCATTCCCTCAGGGAAACCCACATTTTCAGCCGATTCGCTGTTCGGGTCTTAGTAGCGCCCATAACAACCCAAATGGCCTCCCGCATCGCCCCAAGACGGCCCAAGAGACCCCCAGGAAAGCCCCTAGACTGCCTGGATGGCCCCAAGACTGCCCAAGGAAACCCCAACTGAACCAAAAAGAAGCCCAACAGGCCTTGACGAGGCCCCCAAGGCAAGCCCCAGAAGGCCGTGGGAGGCCGCCGGGAGAGCCCGCGCGGCCCCCGTAAGGTCCCTAAGGCCTCCAAAACGGCCCAAGATGGCCCCAGGACGGCTCGAAAGGGCCCCAAGCCGGCCCACCACGGCTCCAACCAGGCCCACACGGCGTTTTCCGCCAAACTAACCCGATCCCCAGGTTCGCAACCACATATCCTGGAAATCGGTTACGAACCCGGGATTCGGTGCATTCCCGAAGAATTGCTTACTTTCGCGTGCCCCGTTGCGACCCGCTGCAACATGACCCCCTTGGCTTGGCATTGTTTTATGCTTTGCGGCATTGCTTGACATTGCGTCGGTTTGCTGGGCATTCAATCACGTGGCTTGCCATCCCTTCGCATTGCGCACCAGGGCACATGAGCCACGAGCGGGCAATGTGCGGGCCTACAAAGGCCTTTCGTCGCCATCCACTGCCGAAACTTTCTGCAAGCGTGTACGTACACCATGTCTGCAAGCGTGTACGTACACATGAAGCCGTAACCGTTGGCTTCTGGATTGCGCTCCTGGGTGCGGCGCAACCGATATTCTTCGCCGTCCCCCGACAGCGCCATCTCTTTCCCTCCTCCTGCTCCTACTTCTCCTCCTCCTCCTCCTCCTCCTCCTCATCCTCCTCCTCCTCCTCCTTCTCCTCCTCTTTCTGCCGCTCCATCACTCGTTCTCCCCCACATCCGCTTCCCTCTCCTCGCTCCCCGAGATTCCCTCCCTCCTATCCTTCGCCCTCCACCTGGCATCTTCGGGAGCCCCCAGAGGCCCGGGGAGGGCCACGGGCAGCCCGAACTTTCGAAGACTCTCGAAAACCACCGCAGGGAAGGGGCGAAGTTTCCAAGGTCACTAGGGACGGCGCGAACAACCAACATAAACAATGCCTCAAGGACCAAGGTGCATGGCGCGAAGGGCCAATGCAGTCTTGTATATGTATATATATATATATGATCCGAGATGCTCCCCGATGGTCCTCACTGACAAAAATGCGCACGTCCGAGCGATGCCAAGAGAAACGGATCACAGCAACACACGGCACGCGGTCACGCGCACAGACTTCTAACACTCTGAAACCGAATCTTCAAAGTAAGCCAGACCCCTTGCAGCATTCTGCAATCAGGGAGTCACCACTAAAATGTCTGCCAATTTTCGGCCGCTGGGGGCCCCTACTCCAAATCCCTCATTAATCGACCCTCCCCCCATAAAAACCGAACCCCCCTCCAAATGCGCATATTCCGGACCCCCCTCTTCGACGGGGCGCCTTGATAAACCGGACCCCTAAACTCCAATCCAAGAAAACGCCCTAATAAACCGGACCGCCCCAGTTGCAAAAAAGGCGCCTTACTAACCGGACCCGAGGACGATTAATAAGGGATTTGGAGTTATTTGGAGTACAGGGCCCCGGGACCGTCAACAAAAGACTCAGGACGAAAAGCCAGTCCCAGGAAAGGGGTCCAGACCTCTGGGAGCCACTTCTTGAACAAAATGTGCACATACATACATACATACATACATACATACATTACATTACATTACATTACATTACATTACATTACATTACATTACATTACATTACATTACATTACATTACATTACATTACATTACATTACATTACATTACATTACATTACATACATACATACATACATACATACATACATACATACATACATACATACATACATACATACATACACACACATGCATACATACATACATACATACATATATACATACATGCATGCATGCATACATGCATACATACATACATACATGCATGCACACACACATACATACATACATACATACATACATGCATGCATGCATGCATGCATGCATGCATGCATGCATGCATGCATACATACATACAAACATACATACATACATACATACATACGTCGTACGTACGTACATACGTACGTACATACATACATACATACATACATACATGCATACCTACATACGTACGTACATACATACATGCAGACATACATACATGCATACATACATATATACAGACCTACTGACATACAGACATACAGACATACGGACATACATTCATACATTCATTCATACATACATACAGACAGACATACATACACACACGCACACATAGATACATACATACCTACCTACCTACCTACCTACATACGTACGTACGTACGTACATACATAATACATACATACATATATACATACATACATACATACATATATACATACATACATACAGACAGACATATATACATGCAGATATGCATGCATACATACATACATACATACAAACAAACATACATACATACATGCATGCATGCATGCATGCATGCATACATTCATCCATGCATGCATGCATGCATGCATGCATGCATGCATACATACATACATACGTACGTGTGCACATATATACACCTATATATATATATATATGTACGGCGCCGGAGATCATCATGCGGAACAACTCCATCATGATGTATCTCCGGACCCAGACATCCGACGTCGCAATTATGTTCACAACGTGGGTCCCCAGAGATCTGGGCCCCTTCCCGGAAACTGGCTTCTCATCCCGAGTCATTTTTCGACTGTCCAGCGGCCGGGTGTGGGCCCCAGAGACCGACAGTTGCTCAAAATTTTCCGTCCAAATTTTTGTTTCACGACGCGAGGACGTCATGGGAAAGTAGATCTGGAGAGGGCTTCTGGAGCCTTTGCTTTGGGAGGGCGGGGTGCTGGAGAAGCCAGGAGGAGCCTCACCACCGATCCTGGAACGCCCCCCCAGCCCCCCGCGGCTGCATCCGCGCCTGGGTCCCTGCACATGGCGGTCCCGTAGCTCCCGCACTGGACTGGGCAGGCGTGGTGGAAGGGCATCTTGCAGAAGTCGGACCAGGGGCAGCCGCTGGTGAAGTCCACCGTGTACGTCGCCAGCATCAGGCCCAGGCTGCTGCTGCAGGCTGCGTCCCCGTGGGCGTCCCGAAGCGCGCCGCAGCTGAGCTTCGGGTCCTTCTTCATGACAACGCTCTTGGCGATAGAGCCGACTCCGGGGATCGGCGGCGCCTTCACGAGGTCGGAGAGGCTAGAGAGGTTCCCCTCGAGCGACCGCTCCACGCGGAAGCAGCTGACCTCTGGCTCGGTGCCGTTCTCGGGGTCGAGGGCCCCCTCGCGCCAGGCGACGAAATCGATGTTGAAGTGGCTCACCGAGAGTCTCTCGAGCCTGACGTACTGGTCATGAGCGTGCTTGATATTCCACAGGGATATCGACACGTGGAAAATCCGCCACCGTGCCCTTGAGGCACGCTGTTGGAGTGTCCTCAGGTCCCTTGCCCGATCCCCTGGAAAGTCAGCCCTCAATCCTGAGGGCTCTTAAGGGGCCCAGACCCAAAGTTGCCAAATCTTCTCGGGCTTTCCGCGTGCCTCCTGGGCCTTGTCGCGTCCTGTCGCGTGACTTTTTCGAGCCCAGGAGGGCCCTAGACAGGCCAAGAGGGCCCCAAGAGGCCCACAAGTCGGTCCAAGAGGGATCCGAATCGCCGCACGATCGGTCCAAAACGCTCAAGATTGCCCCAAGACGGCTCAAGAAGCGCCCAAAGAGAGCCCCGAGAGTCTTCCCAAGAGGCTCCCGAGAGGCCACAACCATTGAGCTTCCTTGGTGCTCCAATGTGTTGGGGGTCCTCGACTTTTCGAGCTTCCGACGCTCCAAGACGGCCCACGAGGCCCACAAGACCGCTCCGAGACGGCACCAGAGGCCCCCAAGGGCCCCAAGACAGCCTAAGAGGGCCCCAAGACGGCCCAAGAGGCACTCAAGACGGCCCAAAGGGGCCCCAAGACTGCCCTAAGAGGGGCCCAAAAGGGGGAGCACGAACCGAAACTCCCAGCCTTCCGCCCCAAGAGGTGCCCATGACGCCCCAGAAAGCCCCAAGAGGCCCCAAGAGGCCCAAAAGAGGCCCCCAGAACGGCCACTCGAGAGGCCTCACAACTGCCTCCGGGAGGCCCACGAGAGGCCTCGACGAGATCCCAACGACCATCCCCAGAAGCCTCAGACCCACAGGGGACGCAGAACGACATATTAGCATTAGGTCGGGCATGTCCCACCACAGGCGGATTGGGGAGAGAAAACAAAACAAGACATAGTCCCAAAATCGTCCCCAGGCAACCTTATCATATTTTTGAATAATCGCCCTGTAGAAGGACATGCCCGACTTAATACTAGTACAGTCGGGGCGTTGACCTAAGGAACCCTAAATAAGGAACGAGGCCCCTTTTTCCATAAGTTAGACTTCGATTTGCCATCGAAAAGCTAAGGGAAACCTGAGGCAAGCTGCGAAACACTTAAGGAACACGGAGCCCCTCCCCAACGAAAAGGGTTTCTTCTTCAGGGCCCCGACTGTATTCGTCCTGTAGAAGGACATGCCCGACTGAATACCAGTAGGTACCGCGTGCCCTCCTCGGAGGCGCACGTCCGAGCCGAAGCTGTGGCACCACCGCCTTGCCGTATACAGCAGATCGTTTCCCGAGCGGTGCGGCCAGAGAAGGCGCCCCCGCCACGGAGGGCACACGCCGTGAGACTTCTCGGCGCGCGCGTCGCCGCCGAGGGGTCGACGCGCACATGGTGCTGGTATGAGGTCGGGCCTGACCCCCCCCTACAGGGGGATTATGGGCGAAAAATTAAATATACTCAAAAAATACTCCCCTGATGCTCTAAAAAAGTAGTATATGGAGAAAAAAAAAAAGTTCCCTGACTATTTTCGAATATTCCCCCTGTAGAGGGACAGGCACGACTTAATGTTAGTATGTTGGGGGTGGCGCCGACCACGACCCCGGCACGCTGGCGGGATGGGCCGAAGGCCATCGGTATGATGGCGGTACAGAGCACAAACAGAGCGGACCTTCGCCAGCAGACAAAGTTGATCGACCGGTACGCCTCCTTCCGGGGCCACTGGTCCGCCGACCCCGCTGCGAGGCTGCCAGGCTACGCGCCCAAGCAGTTTGTCAGTCATCGTGTGTGTGAGCTTCGTGCAGGTTGTCAATACGGATGCCTGGCACACTATGTTTCCAACTGGCTGGTCAACATGCGGGTCCGATGCACTTGCTCCACCAGGCAATGAGCTCCGGTACAGTCCCCCAGCTAGTATAGTTCATGGGAAGTGCGACCTATCGAAGGACTCCTCCAGCCAACCCTTTGGCCAACCCCAGCCAACCCTCTGGCCTACTCTGGACAAGACTTCCAGCCATCTCTGGGCATAACAACTTCCATCGAATGCGCGACCCCCCCCCCAGGCGCCAGGACAGACACTGTAGCACCTTCTGACAATGTTCTCTCGGGTCGCCTGGGCCCTGGTCACTGCAGCGCTTCCAGACAATGTACTACCAGAGACCCCGCGGGTGCCCCAGGATTGCCCGAGATGGCCTCAAGGTGGCCCCCAGAGGCCCCTGGACGCCCCTAAGATCACCCTAGATGTCAAATCAGGGTCCCGAGATGCCCCAGAAGCCCTGAGATGACCCCCATAGGATCCAAGATGCAGTCATTGAGTCTTCAATGCCTGTCGCTTGGTTTGCTCCTAGGCCCCAAGGTTGCTTCATGACGGCCCCACTGACTCCCAGATGGCCTCAATATTGCCCCAAATGGCTTCAAAGTGGCACTTCAGAAGCCCAAAAAATGCCCGTAAGATCGACGAACATGCAAACATCACCAAAGATGCCTGCAAGCGCTGCAAGCCGGCCCCATGGGGGTCCCAAGACCACAATCTCGCCCGAGGTGGCCACGAGGCGGCTCTCGGAGGCCCCAAGATGTCCCCAGCCGATCGCCAGAGATTGCTCCGATCTGTCACGAAACAGACTCGGGAAGCCTCGAGTCTTCTCTCTGCTCGCCCCCCTCATCCTACCGCTCCCATCACGAAGACGATGTTGCGCATCGTTGCCCGCTGAAGCCCCACGATGGCCCCAGGAGGGCCCACCAACGTACGGCAGGTTCGTGTCGTGCCGACCCCAGCGTTGGTTTTTTGACACCGCAGGGATCGTTCAACCTTGAACGATCGGCCGCTGCCGCAACGTCCGATCGTTCAACATCGATCGATTCTGGGTCGCCGGCGGCGTTCAACCTTGAACGCCCGCGCTGGGGTCGCCGCTGGTCGACACGACGCAAACCTACCGTATCCAACCCGACTGCCACCAAGCCACAAGCTTGTCAGAGGAGGGCGCCTGCGGCACAGGGCGAAGAAGCCATCCAGATACGTACACCGCCAGTGCCTGCCCCACCCTCCTCGCGTCCACCCTCCGCCTCCTCCCCCGCTCGGCGGTGGACAAACCTCCCTTTAGCAAACCTCCCCTTAGTGAAAACGGCCTGGGACCGAAACCGACGGACCTGGACCCGCAAAAATGACGGCCGCGACGCCCTCCCGCGAACCGAACACGGCCAACTCGCTGATCGACGGGTCAGGGTAGGAGGTCTGTCCACCCCCGACCCGCTTCTTGGGAGGGCTGGGGCACGCACCGGCAGCGCGTCGCCCTCGGGCCCACGAGACTCCTGCGCGAGCCCCCGGTTGTCCCTCTTGACGGCCTCTCTCTCCGCATCGGTTGCAAAATTGACGGCGTGCAGCTTGTCGGCGCCCTCTCGCGAGACGTGGAGCCACACGCTCCGAGGAATTCGCACAATGCCGATGCAGCACGAGCGGAAGGCCGAGCAGCGGGGGGAGGCCTGGCGCGTCATCCCAGACAGCTCGGCGAAAACCGCAGAGGCTACTCTCGGGTCGGGCGAAAGGGGGGGATAGCAAAGGGGGGGGTTGAGAATCAGCTCACGTAGCTGATTTTCCCGGCGCCTCCCGGCGCCGGAAGCGGCTATGTATCGAGGAATGGGCCCCTCGGTGAGGCCGAAACCAGCTGCATGCAGCAAATTTCGTAACCCCCCCTTTCCCAATCCCCCCCTTTTGCCCGGCCCGATACTCAGAGAGAGAAGTGTGCGCAAAGCCTGAAAAGTGTACGGGCCGTGAGCGGGGTCGACCAACAACGCCTTGCGCAGTCGCTTCGCTTCCGCTTCGGGGCGTAGGCGGCCCAGGAGATTCCCCCCCAAAAAAACACCAGGGTGCACATCTGCCATCGCGACCGCCTGTCACTATGGCCCCCATGCACGAGAACGACACGAAAACATAATCAAAACGAACGCCGCCCGCCCAGAATCAGAGGAACAAAACCCTGCGCAAACCTAAACTGTCGGAGCTTCGCGCGGATGTCCTGGATCTGCGCTGCAAGCCCCCGGCGGCGCTGAAGGCGTCCCCCAGAGGGCCCAGCGCAGACTTGAGAGATCCTCGCGGAGCTCAGACGGGCTATGTTCGTGCAGCCTTCTCTTCTACGGGCCGACGAGGCTGCCCCAGGCGGTTGATTGGTCCATCCCTTCTGAGCAGCCTGCGCTTCTGCCTCCAGGGCCCGGCCTGGAGGCCCAGCGCTCCCCTCCTGCAGGAGCACCAGCGCAGCCGGCCGCCGGCTTGGGCCAGCATTGGAGCCCATGCACGGCGGCGGGGGGGCAAGGACTGGTTTGGGCAAAAGAGATGTGTGCACGTGTACCAACCCTGGACTGGTCCGTCCTGGGCCCTGGGGCGGTGCATACTCCCTCCCGGCTCGGCCAGGGAGACACATGATGACCCCACCTGGGCCCAGGACGGGCCTGGCCAGAGTCGGTGCCTGTGCATATTCCTCGTGGCCCGACTGCCAGCACCTACGGCGCGTTCATGTCGTGGCGACCCACGCGTTGGCTTTCGACCGGCGACTCCCGCGTCTTTCCGACAGCGCAGATCTAGGTCACGCAACTTCGTACATCGCGCCCCACGATCCGCGACGCGCGGCTGTCGTCGCACCCCCGCGCCGCCGCCCTGAAGAAGGCCGCCTCCCCAACCAACGCACCGATGCTATCGCGCGAACGATACCTTCGCGCTCCTGCGGGGAGAACTGGCAGATCGCTCGATGCATCGGCCGATGCCGGGCCACCGGCGGCGTTCCACTCGGAACGCCGGCGACGGGGTCGCCGTCGCGTCGACACGAAGCTGCCCTACAGTGGTGGTGGTGGTGGTGGTGGTGGTGGTGGTGGTGGTGGTGGTGGTGGTGGTGGTGGTGGTGGTGGTGGTGGTGGTGGTGGTGGTGGTGGTGGTGGTGGTGGTGGTGGTGGTGGTGGTGCGAACGACCGATGAGCACGTGCATGTCGCCGTAAAGGCATCGACAGCGAAAGCCAGGGGTGCCGAAGGCGATGGCAAGACCCACGGGGCGGGCGAGGACCACCGATCCAGACGCAGCAGGTAGTCCGCTATAGAGCCCCTTCCCCATCCCTGCTCTCCCCTGCCCAATCGCCCATCTTGACTCGGCGGCGCGCACGAGGAGGGGTGTGCGCGAGGAGGGAGGGGGGGGGGGGGCAGCCCTCCTAGAGCGCGCGGGGGCTCCTCGGAGCGCGGGTGCCTTCTCAGAGGGGCCCGGGCGCTTCTGTGAGGCGGGGCCTCCCCGGACGCGGGGAGGGCCTCCGAGGAGAAGCCGCCCGCCCGCCCCCAGAGGCCCCACGCCCAGACCGTTTCCCGCTTGGGAGGCGGCGCCCCCGGCGTGCCTCCCTCGCCCGGGCGCGCCGCCAGCTGGCTCTGCTGAGCGCGTCCCCTCCCCACGCTCCCCTCTCCCTCGCTAGCCCCCTCCCCCTCCACATCCCCCCAGCCTTCCCCTCCTCGCACCCTCTTCCCTCGCCTCCCCGCCTGGCTTCTGCCCTCCCCCCCCACCCCCCCCCAGGGGAGAAGAGAGGAGGGTGCGGGAGGATTCGAAGGTAAGCTCGGACGTAGACTTCGGAGCCTGGGGGGCGATGTGGAAGCACGGCGGGGGCCCGGCGGGGATGAGAAGTTAGAGGAGGCAGAAGCAGGAGGAGAAGGAGAAGGAGAAGGAGAAGACAGAAGGAAAGGGGATGAGGTGGGAGGATGGGGAAAGACGGGAGGAGGGAGGAGGGAGGGGGGAAGATGGAAGGAGGAAGACAAAAGGAGTGCAGCATCCGCAGCACGAGCAAGTGGCACTGCAACGTGCAGTAGTGGTAGCAGAAGCAACGGCAGCGATAGCATCAGCATTGGCAGCGGCATCAGCTAGCAGCAGCATCAGCAAAATAGGCAGCAACTGAACGCAGTTGAAGCATCATCAGCAGTGGCAGCAACCAGCGGCAGTGGGAGCAGCGGCAGCAGCAGCAGACGCAGTATCGCGTGGGCAGCCTGAGCTGATACACGACGCGCGTGCACTGCGTGCGGCCTCTGCTCCAAATGCTTTTCCTGTCCGCGCGGGCGATGCCACTCGCAACGCCGAGCGCGCCACGCCGCTGCAGGCGCCGGCGGCGCGGCGAGAGAGCTGAACCGAGCACACGCGAGGCCGGGTCCACCAGACCGAGCTCAGCGGCGACCGAAGCTGCTAGCCGCGCTCGATCAGGAGCTGCAGCCGCCCCGTGGCCTGCAGGCCGCGCACCATCTCGGAGACGCCGGAGGCTCCGCCGACGGCGACGATGCGATCGCCAGCCCGCACGACGCAGTCCGGCGGCGCCGCCGCGTTCCAGTCGGCCACGGCGCCCGAGGGCAGCACCTCGCTGATGCCGATGCCAAAGCCAGGCTGCGCGTCGTTGAAGAGCACCTTTAGGGGAAGAAAACAGAGAGAAAAAAAGGCAGAAGCGTAAACTGTTGGAGGTCCGCGCGGACTTCTTGGATCTGCGCCGAGCCCACCATCTGGCCGGCGCGCGGAGCGCGCCAGGGGCGGCGCCAAATGCGCCGCCAGGAGGTTCCAGCGCAGATCCAAGAAATCCGCGAGGAGCAACGAAAGTTTATATCTATGCTTAGGTCGGGCATGTCCTCCTACAGGAGGATTTTGGACGAAAAATAGAAAATACCCGAAACATCAAAAATACGTTTAAACAAAAAAAAAATGCTAGAAAAATCGTCCCAGACAATTGTTTCACTATTTTCCCCAATCAGAGCTTGCCTCTGTAAGGGTCCTAGCGGATTCATATGGTTAGGTTAGGTTTGCCGCCGATTTTCGCCGCACGACCGGGTGCCCGGGTGCCCAGGGGTGCCCGGGTGCCCGGGTGCCCGGGCGTGCCCGGGGGTGCCTGGGGGTGCCCAGGGGCGCCCCATAGCCCTATAGCCCAATAGCCCAATAGCCCAATAGCCCTATAGCCCTACAACTCTATAGCCCTATAGCTCTATAGCCCTATAGCTCAATGGCCCTATAGCCCTATAGCCCTATAGCCCCCTAGCCCTATAGCCCTGATTGGGTTCTTTCTCCAGCATCATTTGAATATTCCTCCTGTAGAGAGACACGCCCGACTTAAATTTATGCCGTTTTTCTTCTTCGAACCTTGACGCCCAGGCTGGCCCCCGCGGGCTTCAGCAGCCCGACCTCGAAGCGCAGGGAGCCGGCGCGGCGGCCAGACGACGGCGGGGCACCTCCGCCGACGGTGGCGCGCAGCGCAGACGCCTCCTCCGTCTGGCAGCGGCCGCAGCCGCACTCGAAGCCCCAGGCGCGGCGCAGCTTCCAGGACTACCACGGCTGTACACCGCCACCGAATTGGGCTGGGCCAGTCCTGGGCCCAGGATCGGTGCGTGCACCCTCCAAGCCGGGTGTCGCATCTTCCTCACGACGAGCGGCTTCGCCCAGTTTCGGGCCCCAGGACCCTCACAGATCGATCTGGCTTGAAAAATGACGCAGACACATGAGGCCCTGGGCTCCAGTGGTGACTTTTGCGACGTTGCGCTCGTTTGGCAACGCCAGGTCTAAAGGTATACGTCAACCTGGCCTGGCCAGGATGGCACGCACGCCGACATCATGGGCCCCGGATGGGCCTGGCCAGGCTCGGTGTCGGCGTAGAGCTGTCGCTGTCCCAGCTTCTCTCGCCTCTGGGCCACGGGCAGCGAGAGCGCCCGCTCGTCCACGTAGGAGTGGCAGAGCTCGTCCCCCGGGCCCAGGGGCCGCAGCGCGAGGACCTCCAGGCACCCGCCGCCGCCGAACCGATTGACGACGTTGGGGGAGCACGAGTGGTTCATGCGCCGGGGGGTTGCTGGAGCTGCCCCTGGCCCAGGGTGGCCCACAGCTTCTCGCTCGATTCTGGAGCCCCACGGGCCCCCTGGGCCTCCTGAGGGGTGCTCTGGCGGCCGTGGGGGCCTCCTTGGAAATCCTGGGGGGGGCACCTTGGGCCAGGGGCACCTCTGGCAACACCCGAATGCGGGCGTGCAGGGGGTAGACGGCGAGCGTGTCTATCTCGCCAGTCTGCGGGTGGAAGATCGTCTGGGCGTTGCAATTGAACGCGCGCAGCACGGCCCACGCCTCAGCGGCCGACCCCTCCGGGGGGATCTGCACCTTCTAACCAGCCTGGCACTTATCCCTGTCCCTGAGATTGACAAGCCAAAAGGCGACGACAATCTTAGAGATGCATCCTGAGAAACAAGGGGAACCCTTCAAGATCGGCGTCGAGATCAGGTGGTGCCAATCACAGGGACTGGGGCGTGTCTCGGGCTGGAGACCTTCTCCTCGAGCCTCGCGCCCGTCTCCCCGAACTCGGACTCCAGGTAGCGGGAGGGCCTCTGGGGGCAGAAGAGCGCCCTCACCTTCGGTGGCAACTCATGGGAGCCTCTCACGCCATCTTGCTGGCTCTTGCGGATCGACGCGGATCGACGCCCATCTGCGCTAATCGACGCTGGTCGACGCCACATCGGCGCTTTCTCGTCGACTGCCAGACGCTGCGCGAATGCACTCTAAGGGCGGGATCACGAAGGTACACAAGGCTCCTAGGATTTGCTACCGAAGCTCACCGCCGCCCGGTCCGGGGGCGCCAGCGCGTAGAAGCCGTCGACGACCGCCTGCCCGTAGTTTCTGTGCCTCAGGCCGAGCACCCCGCCGCCCGGGCCCGCCGCCACCTCGAAGTGCTCCCCCGCCCGCATCACCATGAGGCCCCTGTCGGCGAAGACCACCTGAGCGACGATCAGAAATGATTGGCGGCGCGCAAAAGGGGGTAGGGGGAGGGGGGAAGGCTTCTTAGAAGCACCCTGCTTCTTTAGAAGGCCTCGGCCTTACGTCTATAGAGAAGGCCCGCGCCTTCTAAGAAGCAGGGGTGCTTCTAAAAAGCCTTCCCCCCTCCCCCTACCCCCCTCTGCACGCCGCCAAAATGAGAACCACGCGAGATGGCATAGCGACCTCACGCCTCAGCTCACGCGGGCCGCCCGCGCGGCACGCTGCACCGGCAGCGATGGATGCCCGCGCGCGCCCCCGGGCGTGAAGCGGAGCTTACGCGCGGGTGCCGGCGCAGCCAAGCCCATTCCTCTTTCGGGGAGACGTACAGTCGGGGCCTTGACCTAAGGAACCCAAAATAAGGAACGAAGCCCCTTTTTTCCATAAGTTAAGCTTCGATGTTCGATCGAAAACATAAGGAAAACCTGAGGCAAGCTGTGCAACACTTAAGGAACACGGAGCCCCTCCCCAACGAAAAGGAGTCCTTCTTCAGGGCCCCGACTGTACGGGGGACTCGGGCTGGCCCGACGGGGGCCATCGTGAAAATGACGAGGCCCAATCTGAAACTTGACGCGGGCTCCCGCTGCAGACAGCCCACGAACACGGGAACGCCAAAATCCAGGACGCGCTCGTCAACAAAAGAAAAACGGTCGGCAGACCCGAGTTCCGGCTCACAGGCGGCCCGGATTCGCAGGTCGACCCTGCCAGATCAAGGGCACCCTCGTGTCCTGGGTCTTGCGACCCATGCCTCCTGCATGTCTGTTTGGCGGCGAGCACAAGGGGGTGGAGGGAGGGGGGAGGGCTTCTTAGAAGGAGGCTGCTTCTTAGAAGGCGCCGGCCTTACATCTATAGATAAGGCCCGCGCCCTCTGAGGAGCAGGGGTGCTTCTAAGAAGCCCTCCCCCCTCCCCTCACCCCCCTCTGCGCGTGGCTGATCTGTGGCGACGTGGCCCTCGGCAGGGTCCTGTGCCCTCTCGCGCGCGCCCTCTCCAACCGGGGCCGACTGCACAGTCATCGGCCTGACCTAAGGAACGATAAATAAGGAACGAAGCCCCCTTTTTCCCAAGGAATAACGCATAAGGAACGATAAATAACAAATAACGCATAAGGAACTGTAAACAACGCATGCAAACCTAAGGAACGACCGAGCCCCTTTTGAAAAGTAAGTGTTCCTTATTCAAGCCGCTCACTGTACGCCGCCCGGGCTCTTCGTCGCTCGCCTGGCCCTCCGCGAGGCGGCGGCCCGGGGCCACCACGAGGATCCTGCCGCGGGCGCCCCCGGCGTCCACGACCTGCACCGCCGCGCCCGGCGGCCCCGCGGCGCTGGCCTCCCGGCGGCACGCGGGAGGGGCCCCTCTGCCGGCGGGCGTGGGGCCTCCGGCACGGGGCCTGCCGGGCGCGGCGCACGGCGAGAGCCTGGCGCTGCCGCTTTTGCCATTAGCACCTTGTCTCGGCGGCGGACAAGCCTCCCTTTAGCAAACCTCCCCTGAATGAAACCGAAACCGACGGACCTGGACACGCAAAAATGACGGCCGCGACGCCCTCTCGCGAACCGAAAACGGCCAACTCCTTAATCGACGTGTCAGGGTAGGAGGTCTGTCCACCCCCGCTTGTCTCGCTGAAGCGACGCACTTAAACTTGAGAAGAGCAACCCCGCACAGCGAAGAGAGCGCACCGCACCTGCTTCACCGACGCCGACCGCACCGGGCGGCCTCGCCCTCGACTGGCCTCGGGCCCCTAGGGTCCTCGCAGCTCGATCTGGATCTCGACGCATGCCGCCAAAAGGATGGGGCCTGCGGGGCTCCGAGCGTGCGCCCCTGCACCGCTGCCCCCTCGCTCGCGGCGTCGGGCCGCGGAGTTCCGGGCGTGGCCCCCGCCCGAGGCCGCGCGCCAGAGGCCACGCCGGCGGAGGAGGGCCCCTCCCGCGAGCACGCGCCGCCAGGCCCAGGCACCCGACGCCCGGATGTTTTTGTCGCAGCGGCCGGCTCCCCCCCGAGAGGCCTGGCCCACCGCCCCCCCCCCCGCGGCCCGCGCTTCGGCCCGAGCCGGCGCTCGACGGCCCCGGGGCCGCGCAGGGGGGCCCCGTGCAGAGGCCGATGGGGCGTGAGCGAACGGGGGGGGCGACAAAGGAAGGGAGGGGGGGGGGGGGAGGGGGGGATAAATGAAGGAAGAAAAGGAAGAAAGGGGGGGGGAAGAAAGGGAAGAAGGGGGGGGAAGGGGGGGGGAAGAAAGGGGGGATAAATGAAGGAGGGGGGGGAAAGGGGGGGGGGAAGAAAGGGGGGGGGGGGGGGGGCGGTAAATGAAGGGAGGGGGGGGGGAAGAAAGGCGCACTGCTCGGGCCCCGAGGGCCCCCCCTCTGCTGCAGCCCTCGCTGCCCTCCCTTTTAATCGCCCCACGCGACGCCCAGGCCGAAGACTGCCACAAAGCAGGGCGACAGAATCTGTGCACGTCTGCTGCTGCCTGGCCAGAGGCCCGTCCTGAACACAGCTGTGCACGCCACGCCCTCCTGGCTTGGCCAGGAGACCGTACACACAACTTCTGGGCTCAGGACGGGCCCGGCCAGGCAGGGATTTGGGTGACCCAAAAGGGGGTCCAGCTGAGAAGGGGTGGTGCAATAGATTTCGGGCAATTGTATTGCAAATGTACTGCGCCGGAGATTTGTACTGCATTGGATTGCAAGTAATGTACTGCACGCGGAAATCCAGCAATACATTTGCGCCTCGGAATGTATTGCACCCCCCAGATGTACTGCAACCCTACAGATTTATTGCACCAAATCTATTGCACCACCCCCTTGTCGCTGGACCCCCTTTTGGGTCAACCCGAAGGGAAGTGGATGTGCATAGATTTCGTCGCCCGAAGACTGAAAACTGCCAAAAGCCTCCGGCCGCTGCGCGTTTCCACGACGCCGGGATGCCAGGGCTTGACGTGCCGCCGATGGCCGCCGCCTCCGCCGCGCGGCGGGCCCCGCCACGCCCTCGGCCAGCCCTGCGGGGGAGACCCACAGAGAACGGTGCGCTGGTGAGAACAGTCCCCTGGGGCCCAGGCGAGAAACGCTTCCCCGGAGATGATGATCGATGTCAGGATGTCTGGATCGCGCTTCGCCTGAGACACCCTCACAATCGGAACTACGACAGGAACTTTGGAGGGGAGAATGAAATTCGGCCTCCCCGCCTGCTGTCTCAATTGAACCACATGCAATCCCGTGGACAGAGAGCTACAAGGGGGAGGTGGGGGGATGCTTTATCATCCGGGGGGTGCGGTTAATTGCCTGGCACCGCTGGTCCGTAGACCCCTCCTGGGGTGCGTTCCGACGAAAATCTTGAAGCGAATCCAGCCGTGGCGAGGGCCCCGAGGAGGCCCAAAACCCAAAGGTCTGACGCCGCCAAAACACTGCCCCATGGAAAGAATCACGACCGGAGCCCTGGGCCCCGTCTTTCTGCGTCATGTGCTCCAGCGGCATCGATCTGCGAGGGCCCCGGGGCCCGGGAACTGGGGCAAAACGCCCGTACGGTGCACGACCTGCAGCGCCAGGGCTTCCGGGCAAGGCGAACGAGGAGAGGAGGAGGAGAAGGAGGAGGAGGAGGACGAGGAGGAGGAGAGTGGGAAGGAGGAAGGAAGAGAGAGAGGAGGGGAGTGAGGAGGAGGAGGAGAGCGGAAGATCAGGAGGAGGAGGAAGGAGAAGAGGAGAGGAGAAGAGGAGGAGCAAGGAGGAGATGAGCAGGAACGGCGGCAGGCAGCCACATCGCAGTTTCTTTCTGCGCGCCTCGGACCTGCCGCGCCACGCTCCGTGCGCTCGCCGGGCCCCGCCGTCGGGCGCACTTGGGCGGGCCGTGGCCGCTCGCCGCCGAGGCGGCGCAAGACTGCGGCAGCGCCCATCGGCCAGCAGCGGCCGCTGGGCGCGCGGCGCCCGCGGCCGCGGCGCTGCGAGGGCGGCGCACGGGCGGGGCGCGCCGCGATGGCGGGGGCGCGGCGCGGCGTGGCGCAGGACGCATGCCGGGCTGCCGGAGGTCCCGGCCACCCCAGGCGCCCGTGCGCCGTGGAGGAAATCACAAAACGTAAGGAGGAGGGAGAGGAGGAGGAGGAGGAGGAGGTAGGAGGCGAGGAGGATGGAGGAGGAGATAGAGTTAGAGAGGAGGAGGAGGAGAGGATGGAGGAGCGAGGAGAGAGGAGGAGGAGGATGAGTAGGAGGAGATGGGAGAGAGGAGTTAGGAGTTAGGATAGGAGAGGAGGAGGAGGAGGAGGAGGATGAGGAGGAGAGGAGGAGGAGGAGGAGAGGAGGAGCAGGAGGAGAGGGAGGAGGAGGAGAGGAGGAGGAGGAGGAGGGGCGCGCGCCGGGCGCGCGCCGGGCCCTCGGGGAGCCGAGAGCCTCGGAGGGGGCGGCCGCGCGCCGCGCGCCGCGCGGGAGGCGTTTGTGAAGGGGGCCCTGGGCCCTGGGACGCCCCATAGTTCCTGGGTTTCTGTCTTCCCCCCCCCATTTCCCCATGTTTTCGCCTCTTTTCCTGGGGGTCGACGATTCGTTGTGTCTATGTGTGTGTGTGTGTGTGTGTGCTTTTTCCTCTCCTGGGTTTTGTACTTGTCTCAAGGATCTTCGGGCCCGGGTCCATCCAGACCCGAGTCAGTCAGGCCTTGCAGGCTTCGCAGGACCCTGCAGGATCCTGCACCCCGACCTGGGTCACAGTGCGCCCCTGGCCCTGCAGGGCCCTGAAAGATCCGGCGCTCTGACTGACCCCCGCTTGCATTGACCACCGCCTCTTGAGCCCCGTTTCTCCGCCGCGGGGGGCTCTTTCCGGGCAGGGCGGGAGCACCAGAGGCGTCCACTCTGGCGCGTGCACCGCAGCCAGGCCGCCCTCACACTGTGCGGCGTCCGCGCGTGCGGCGCGGCCTTACGCCTCCGCTGCCGGCGGCGCGGTGTCCTGGAGGGCAGCCCAAAAGACCCCCTCGCGCTGTGGAAACATCACGACGGCCAGCCTTTTGCGTGTTCGGCCTCGGGGGGCCCTCGCCGGGCCCTGGGACCGCCGAGCGACGACTCCGGGCGAGAGGCCGGTCCAAGGGAGTAGACCTCCGGGGGTCGGCGTTGTGACAGAATCCTGGCGTCGGATGCCTGAGAAGGGGCCACCCTCCTGCGCCACCTGCCATCTGCCCATCGGCCCACTCGGCGGCTTTCGGGCCTCGGGGTGCTTCTAGCAGCAACACCCCGCCGAGGGCGCTCTGGGGGTACCCTTAGGTCGGGCATGTCCCCCTACAGGCGGATTTTGGGCTAAGAGTTTAAAATACCCAGAACATGCAAAAAAAAATTGGAAAAGAAAAAATCGTCCCCAGACTATTTTTAAACTATTTTTGAATACTCCCCCTGTACAGGGACACGCCCGACTTGAGGGTACCCGGATCGTCGCGAACGGCATCCGAAGCCCTGGGCTGTGGCCCGAAAACCAGAAGCGACGGGGATCGAGTCGGAGAAAGGCCAGTGGAGGCAGCGACGGCCCTTCCTGGCGCTTCCCGTCCCTCTCTGGGGGCCTCTTGGAGGCCTCTGGTGGCCATGGTTCACCAGAGCCAGAAGTACCACTACCACTAGGTCGGGCATGTCCTCCCACAGGGGGATCTTGGACGGAAAATTATCCCGGCAAAGCAACCTAACAGCGATGTGTAGAAGCATATCTGAAAGCATTCCCCTTAAGATTCAGATGAAAATCCAGTTGTAGAATTCTGCTGTTCTCGCAGTCGTAGTCGCATTCGCGATGACAGTCGCAGTGGCAACGGCAGTCACAGTCACAGCCTCAGCCTCAGCCTGCCTCAGCCTCATCCTCAGCCTGCCTCAGCCTCAGCCTGCCTCAGCCTCAGCCTCAGCCTGCTTCAGCCTCAGCCTCAGTCTGCCTTCAGCCTCGGCCTCAGCCTCAGCCTGCCTCAGCCTCAGCCTGCATCAGCCTGAGCCTCAGCCTCAGCCTGCCTCAGCATCAGCCTGCTTCAGCCTCAGCCTCAGCCTCAGCCTGATTCAGCCTG